AGATTCATAGATTATAGTTGATACACTTACAAGATTGAAAATTTATTTAGCTACGGATAAAAATATACAAAGGATATAGGTGTGCCTTGGTCGAGGTTTCAAGTGCATTTTTGTTGAAAGGTTTATGGTTGGCGTGTATAAACACATTGGCGTAACATGGAAGTAGAACTCAACCTGTCCATCTCTCTGATACATTTCATTAATGTGAAATTACTCGATTTGCATGTACTACATATTAGTTGATTCACCGGATACTATTGTTATTCATTATACAGGATGTTTCACAGGTGAAGAGAAATATTTCAGAGGTAGAGGTGGTTCTGAAAATACCATATTTGATGAGTCTTACAGTTTTTATAACAGATATACAGGGTGATTAATCTTCTGAGAATAATTATTCACCATAAGTATTGAACTACCAGAATATTTTTCTATCGGCCTGAATGGAAATCCTGGTTTGGATTCAGAAAAAATGTTATTTATTCGAAATATAAAAAACACAATGTATTTAGTAACTCATAAAGTTCATCAAAATAATCATGAAGAGGAGAAAAAACTAAATTGGATTTGATACTTTTTGTTTTCACATCGTAACACTCATAAACAGAAAATTGAAAGTATGTCAATTCAAAGAGTTTTAAAATTCTGAAACCAGTTTTAATGATAATTGATATCTACTAGTTGAATAATCGTTCTAAAAAACTTACTTAGATTAAATACTTATCGTATAAAGGTTTGTGAAGAGATATAGAACTCTGAAATCAAATGGAACACATGAAAATCGTGGTCATGACCGTCGTATTAGCTTTATTAAAAGGACAATTTCATGCCAATAGTTCTTAAAATAATTTGTAGCTACGGCTGGCTCGAATTAAGCGCAATCTTGAGGTTCCATTTTTGAGCAGCTGAGGCTCAATATATCGGCAATTACCTGCAATAACGCTGGTTATATTGACTTCCAAGTGGTCCAAATCCTGTGCATTATTAGCATAGACTTGCAAGTTGACATATTCCCACAAAAAATAATCTAGGGGTGTGATTTCACGCGATCTTAGAGGGAAATGCACAGGTCACAGGAGGAACCAAAAAAATCGGTTATCATACATAGCGCTCTTCATTGACTGTAGTTCTACCTAGAGTCACTGGATGGTATTAGTTAGATGAACTAGTTCTACCCACCATCATTATTGAAGAAATATGGGCGAATGATTCCACTAATTCATTACACACAACAAATGTTGGTTTTTGTGGGTGTAACGCACGTGTAACGACGTCTAAACAGTAGCTTCTGGATTTTCGACACTCCAGATACGGAAATTTTGCTGAATAAATTGTGAGGGATATTTCATTCACATTACCCGCCGTTAAACCCGGTTAGAGTATTTACGTCATAATGACGTCAACATTAACTATTTTTGAATTCCTATTTCTTTCACTTTACCCACTTCCACAGTTTACCCTTGTATCTCTTACAACGACATCCACTCCATTCATTTTCAATCCGAATGTTCCCATATTTTCCAAATGAATCATTTGTAAAAAAATATTCAAGGTTACCTTTAACCACCTTTACCAACTATGGAGTTGGTACACCCAATGGCAGGTAGGGGAGGTGTACCCAAACGGAAATGACGTCACGGTTAAACACAATGAAATAGGATTATCAGCTTGAACCATGGCGGGTAATGTGAATGATGTAAATGAGGAACTGAACTATGATTTTATTAGTAAATTTGCAAATTTCTAAGCGCTGTTCCTAAGTCAGTACATTCATATTGGCAAATTATAATGAGCAATATTTATCCGTCAACTCTGTCAAATTGAATTCCACTAGACACAGTATTATTGATTTGAAAAACTATAACCTCTGAAAAAACACCCGTTATTAATAAAATAATTAGGTTTCTTAATATTGATTGCTCCTCGCTATCTTCGAGATACTACTGAAGCTATGTTGAATAGTCTGTCCATCTTGGCTTGAGCTGAGATTTTCGCACGCCCATGGGTTTCTGCATAACGAGTATGTTGCACAAGAATATCTCGACCACTTCCCTTTTCCGACACATTGATAATCAAGAGCAACTTGATATTTTATTTTCTAATTATGGACACAATACCACTAAGATAGTACTTTGCCGACGGAGTGACCGGTGATTTTTCTAATATCGATGAAAATATCTAGGAAATATGCCTTCGAGTATGAATCAGTGTTATTAGCAATTCATTAAAAACTCGCTTAGAGATAGTTATAGTTAGATTAATTCCTGGTGTTTTGAATGATGTGAAGAATAATACGCGAATTGAAAATGTCTTCAATAATATTTATTTATCTACTCTCTTCATCGAAAGTAAGCGTTTGCTCCCTCATTAAAGGACAAACCTGTCAATTCACTCCCACGGGATGAAAAAAAGATTACCTTCCGTAAAGGAAATGGATACCTTTGCTCCTTAGATATATAAATAGCTATTATTAAACCTGTATATCATGATGTATACAGGGTGGTCCAGGTTGAACGTCATTGAATTTGATAGGCGATAGAAAAACGGGAAAGAAGTAGACTTTAAAGAAAAAACTCTGGTTGAAAATGCTTCCTAACAGAGATACAGGGTGTACAGAGTTTTGACATCTCGATTGAGTTCTCGACGGGCCGCGTTAGGTTTGGAATCATCAGAATCAACACTGTAATGTGTACTTCATAAGGATTATTGAAAGCCATACTAGTCACAGCCTGTGCAGAACCTCAAATATTTAGACTTTTTGCAACCCTTAAAATTTGAATGAGTATCTTGAAAACGAAGCCATTAATAAAAAATTTGCAGAGGTATTATGATTCTTTAAATTCAACAAGGAATCAAAAAATCGAATCTTGTAAAATATCCAGTGAAACTGAAGATTAGGAGAGGGAGAAGGAGATGTCGACCCCCATTACCTACGCCACTGAAGAATTTCTTCAAATGACCTCAATCATAACTCAGAGATGTAATATATTAGTCTGTGTGCGAAATTCGATCTAAGTCGGTCGGGTGGTTTGGAAGTTATGATGATAAATCCGATGTTTGCCCAAATCTTTGAGACCCTGTATCTTTGTTAGGAAGAATTCTTAACCAAAGTTTTTTCATGAAAGTCTACTTCCATAGGATAATCAGCGTTGCCGTCTCAATTAACTCATAGGTAGTGGAAATATTCAAACAATCATTCGTTTTCCGGCTATCAAACCTACAGATTTCAACAATAATTGAACGATGTCATGGATGCACTTGGCGTCAAACAGACAGGTTGAAATCTGTTCTCCTTTCATTTCATATAAGATATTAGTGGCTAGTAGTCGAATAAATTCAATTTGAAAACATAATATGTGATATTTCATTCATATTCCCATGTCACAGCATAAAGCATTGAGAAAACTATGCATATACCGGGTAGCAAAGAGAACCGGGTCGCCCCTGTACCTTTTGATTCGTTCGAGATGACATTTTGAAATTTGAAGGGTTCATATAACATCATATTTCACATTCACTGATATGATTATGCTTTTCGAGTTACTACCGGTGCGGCCGGAAATTTATTCAACTTTTGATTTTCAACTGAGACCCTGTATATTTTTCACATTCTTGGAGTCAGGAGATCATTTGTTGAATGTTCGTGCGAAAATTTTCTTAGCGTCGGTGTTTTATCTGATTTTTGGAATCGTATCTCCGTGGCTGTTACTGCCATGAATTGTTTTTTGTTTCAGTTCTATTTCAGTGGAAAAATTCAAATCATACTATTCCACAACTGTCTTGCCTATAATCGGCTCTCCGAGTGATCATAAGTGATTTTTCTAGAATAACTTTGCTTTTTCAAATGGAATGATGGTGTAAGAATATTCTTCAACTCATTAATTGATACCACATTTGTCAATATCCCATTGATAATCGAAACACAAAATTGTTGAAATCAAAATAAATTTCAAAAGAAAGAGATTATGATGAGTCTAGTTGGCTATGATGTCTTCCTGAAAAAATCATATAACAATATGTAAAATGATCTTCTAAATTCACAAATGTGAAAATATACATTTTTTTGAATATCTAAAGTTGCGGTTCTTTTTGCTGACACCGGAAGTATTTCATAATGTGTTATTGTATCAGTGAATGTGAAGTAAGATTTTTTTTGAACCCTCCAAATTTCATAATTCTACCCTTATAAAAGTTATAGTTTTCAACCTATTTCTCTTTTTTTCTTGTTTCAATAGAAAGAGAATCTGAAGATCTACGATTACACAAATTCGCAAAATTAATGTTGTAGAACTTTGTTGCCAATCTCGCTGAATCCTGTCCAGGGTCGATATTTTTGAAAACAAAAATCGCTAATGATAAATCTCTGGTAGTAGTCCATGCTCAAATTGGAGGTGATGAGACAATTAAGAGAACAAACTCAAAGTCTCGCTCCAAGTAAATTTTAATAAAATCATATGTGCTACATGTTTCGACTCCTAGGAGTCATCATCAGGCTTGCTAGGTAGGAGGAGAAAGGAAACTATAAAATTGATGACATAGTTCGTAGATTATTTGGGGCCTAAGCCCCTTACGAACTATGTCATCAATTTTATAGTTTCCTTTCGAAGGACCAATTCTCTGTTGAATATTGGAAGGTATTTTCTTCCTTTTGTATTAATATATGAATTCAATGATTGAAGTTTTATTATATTTTTGATTGACGTTCTTTATTAAACAAAATTATTGACATCGCAACATTATATAAATTGAAATATATATAGAGTAGTGAAACCCCAACACATAGTATGCCCTGAAAATTGGAATTATATTTTGCTAATTTGTGGTTATGTAGATATTTCGATACTCTTTTTGCTGAAACAAAAGAACAAGAGATCGGTTGAAGGGTGCTTCGGTCTTGAGTGGGCCACACTACTATATTTCAGTTACTTATCACATTCGGACTGAACTCGTGTTTTGGTGTGATATATCCATTGTAATTTATGTAATGTTGATTGTTCCAGAAAACCTGGCTCCGTCGGAACTGAAGAAACTGCGCAACAAACAGAGGAAAGCGCGACGGAAGGCGGAACAGGAGAGCCTCCAACAGAAGGAGGCGCAAGTGAAGAGGGACCAGCACCACAAGTCGCGGCAGCAAGGCGATGTGGAGGCCGATGCGCCGCAGCTGGACGAATTAGTACCTGACAAATTGGCAAGGGTGAGTTCAACCAGGGCCTTAGAGAGGGGTCACACGAGGGTTTAAATGACGGACGTTGTAACGCGCGTTGTAGCGGACGTTGTAGAATAACACCAGCGTGATATGCGTCGGTCACACCACCAACGCGCGCTCAACTCGTCGCGCGTTATTCATTGTCAACGCTCAGCACCTCTAGTACGCCCACAGCGCGCGTTCTTGTTCAACACATGGTCAGATATACGTAGCCACACGATATTCAATTTAACGCGCGTCTATCTGACGATTATACGTAACTGGCAGTATTTTTGTGATCTGGCAACAGCTGTCGGTTGAGTTGTAAGTATCGTAGACTATCGTTGACATCGTAGACTATCGTAGACGTTGTTATCGTATGTTTTGGACTTGTTTTTGATTCATTATATCAAACATGGATGTAGAAGTGTTAATAAATGAGGTCCAAAAACGTCCCGTTCTTTGGGATACTTCTAATGAAGAGTACAAGGACCGGAATAAAAAAACTACAGCTTGAGAGGATAGAGAGTATAAAATGATCCACTTAAGAACCTTTCACTGTTTATGGGATAAACCCACCATTTACGTTTTTTCGTAGCCTGCTTTTTTTACGTAGATCTAGGTATAAAATCAGAAATGCGGCAACATCCTGCGGACCTTCCATGACTGTCACATGTATACTCAACAAACTGACGCTCGAATCTGAACGCTCGTGTGGCCGCAAGATTTGTCGCGCGTTCCAAAATAACGTCCGTTTTAACGTGAGTTGCATAAACGCTCGTGTGGCCCCTCTCTTTCTATCTCACCGGGCCGGAGCATCGCTTTCGTGACGTCACACTAGTAGGGACAAAATCTAGGCGCTGGAAATTGCTTTTCCCAATTCATTGATGTCCAGGCTAGACTTTTTCAAGAGATGAATCAATATTCACTGATTTACGATTAATTGTTCAAGACATATAGCATATCAAAATCAATTGACTACATTCATAATTGTCGTTTTTTAAACAGCTGCTAGAATTTCAATATTCAATTCACAGAAATGATTCAACCATGCAAAGGCTTCTCATAGTATCTAGATTGACTGTAATTTATTTCAAAATTCCCAATAGCCAATAACAAACCAATATTTCAATTCAAGTAAAATGGTGATTCAGATGATTATTACAGACTAGTTCAAAAAGTTTAGACGGCCCCCATGCGAAGCCTTTTAGTTGTGGATATATGCTGTCACTGACTTTTTTGTAGTAAATTTCATTGCCTACAAATCGATGTAATACACTTTTACTGTATCTCAGAGGATTTTAGCAGCGTTAATGTCTAAAGATAATATGGACACACTTTTATGACGTTAGAAATTATATACTCACCTGAGTAGAAGCTATTACGCAAAAATCCTGGCAGCGAATTAATTGTTTTCCGCTATGGAGTATATGATGATGATGATGATTCTTTTTTTCTTATTACTTATTTGACTGAATCCTGCTATATACAGGGTGTTTCTCAAGTATGTGTAGAAACTTCAGGAGCATGTTGCTGACGTCAAAATAAGAAGAAAAATACGTATAAATATGTGTCCGAAAGTTATTCGTTTCTGAGATACAGAGTGTGAAAGTTGAATTCGTATTTTTGTTTTTTGTTAATAAATATCAAAATTATTGTGATATTTTCGCAAAAAATAGTATTCCCTAGTACAACGTACTGATTTTCATCAAAATTGGATTTCTTTACAACATCATAAATCGGTACTCGGTACTGGTTCATCCTAATGCATTAATTTTTTTACCGAAAGTTGGGTAGTTCGTCAGGGATCCATTCGTCTCGATTGAGTGTGCTTCTAATTTCTAAAGTAAATGAGCTATATCCTTTCAATTACGAACGCACCGACCTGAAATGATGTGATCCTTCTCGAGGTGTGAAGTGTGTTTTTACTACCAATGTAGCTTTCGTCATTTTATAAACAACTTAATTAAATTATATACAGAGTGGGCCTTTGAAAACGAAACAGAGGCTCTGTAGGTCGCCAAAACCGGATTATGAAAAGAATCTGAAACACGTCATCTACATTTTCGAGGGGGACATCGTCCTACAATATTTTCAGCCCTGCGGCGTTGCCGCTGCTAACGAAAAGAAGCAACAACTTTGTTATTTCAAATGGAACACCTTGTATTTTATTGCATTTTTAGATTCTCCCCGAAAATCTGATTTCATCAATGCATCACACTTGGGGTCTAGCTGTAATGGTTTCAGGGATATAAAGTGTTCAAAATCGTGATTTTTCAACTTTAACATTTTTTTGTGTCGAAACTAATCATTATTGGTCAAAACGACTCCCATGTCCCTATCTCAACTTGTGATTCACTATCTACTAACATTTAATTGGAACAGATACAGGGTGATCAGAATTTTGAATCTTGAACCACCCTGTATTTGTTTCAAATAAATGTCAGTAGATAGTAAATCACAAGTTGAGATAGGGACGTGAGAGCCGTTTTGACCAATAATGAATAGTTTCGACACAAAAAAATTTTAAAGTTGAAAAATCTCGATTTTGAACACTTTATATCCCTGAAACCATTACAGCTAGACCCCAAGTGTGATGCATTGATGAATTCAGCTCTTTGGAGAGAATCTAAGAATGCAATGAAATACAAGGTGTTCCATTTGAAATAACAAAGTTGTTGCTTCTTTTCTTTAGAAGCGGCAATGCCGCAGGGCTGAAAATGTTTTAGAAAGATGTCCCCCTCGAAAATGTAGTTGACGTGTTTCAGTTTTTTTTTGATAATCCGGTTTTGGCGACCTATAGAGCCTCTGTTTCGTTTTCAAAGGCCCACTCTGTATAATACATGTTAATTAGAACAGTTTCTCCTTTGATCAAACCCTTTGAGTTTATGAAAACGACACCTGATCATGTAGTTGAATTCGAAAACTGTATTGATTAATTTTTTTTTATAGGTTCGTGACCCCTTGGAAGAAGCCATTAAATTCCTCCAACCCCTACAAACTTTAGCCAAAGACCGAATGGAAACCCATCTGATGGCATTCGAAGTATATTATCGAAAAAGTAAGCACTTATAACTGAGTTTTTTTTCCTTTTTTAGAACATCCAGTTCTCTTGATTTTGCCTCAGAAAATAAGTCTCTAAAGTAATTTTTTCTTTCTTCATCATTATCGTAGTGTTACTGGTCGTTATCAAGAAAATGTACCTAATTCATTCAAGATTCAGCTAACATAATTTGAAATTGCCTTTCTATTTTATTTTGAAAAATACAGAAGGTATTTCCAATGATTTGGAAGTTGACATTGTGTTCTATTTAAAATTCGTACACTTCGTCTCCAAGCAGTCTGGTTGTGTATGGTGATTTTAGAAACATATGAACATGAAAATAACCCAAATGATAAGAGTCACGACTTTATTAAGAGTTTGTTATAGTTTAGGATAGTTTTGCCACAGATAAAGATGTTCGCTTGGTAATATAAAATTATCTGGCAAAATTTTTAGAATGAGTTATACTTCCATGGTCATATGTCTCTAACGGTGATGTGACCTGTGTTGTATATATTTGCATTGACTGCAAGCGAAACGCGCTTCTTTCAATCTCTTCTATTATGTTCGAAGAACATCATGCCTACCTAGGGAGGATAGGGAGAGGAGGTAGGTGTTGGAATTGTTTTTAAATTCTTGGAGGTTATAAATTCTTGGACATACCTCTATTGGAAGATAATTTCAAAACTTTGCCGTTCTATAGACAAACGACTTCTGGTGAAGTGTTGTTCGACATATTTCAAGGTTATGAGTGTTTATCAGGAAATAATGCGTTCGTATGAAAAAGTAATTTGAAATATTTCAGGAACCACTGCATTTTTTTGGATTTTTTTTCAACTTTTGTCTGATTTGATCAATTAAGTATCCGTGTCATTTCAGAAATATCAATACTGTCCCTATTCACCCAATAGCGCGCAAATCTATTCGAAAATTGAAAATTTGCGATCATATGGTGGTGTTAAGTTTCGCATTATTGGTCTATTTTGCCCCTTAAGAGACAGAAGTCGGTGTCCTTCTCGGGACATCTAGTATTCACGCTCTCGCATTACAGGGAAAGTCCTCCTCATGCTGCAATCCATCAAGCGCGCCCAACAAATCGACCCGAAGAACCCGAAACTCCACAGCTGTCTGGTGCGCTTCTTCGAGCACATCGCCGAGGTGCGCTCCGATTGGGAGCCGTGCATAGAGGAGGTCGTCTCCAGAGAGACGGAGTCGTACTTCGCCGGCAAAGGGGCGCATGCGCTGAACGAGGACTTCCTCGAGCGCAATTCGCACAGCTTGTGGGCGGTGTTGGAGGGGGCGAAGATGATGTACCATTTGGACAACAAGTGTCAGAGTCGAGCCATCGAGTTGGTCACTAGTCTGGACAATAAGTATCAAGATGTAAATATTGAAGTGAGTATTGCTATGAACAAAGATCTGTTGATATTAAACTAACTGTAGTATATACTATTGGAAGGCGTAGTAAAGAAATTCGCCCATAATGGGCGTACCACGCTGCTTTGGCTTGATCTAAAAGAAATCGGAAACCATTCGTCGTCTAGAGCGAAAAGGTCGAAAACTATTTGCCGGTTTGTCGGCACTTTAAAATAGCTTATATTTCGTTATGTTAAGACCTGTTGGAAGTATTGTTTCCAGTTGCATTCGAAGTGTCATTGGAATAAGATTGCTGTCAATAGGGAAGCTTTTCTCGATTATTCTGGTGTTATGCAACATTCGAAATGTTCTGCCTTGAGTGTTGATGAAAAAACAAGCTTCCTCAATGTATCTAATCGTCTACGAAAAGATAAGGTACTTGAAGTTCAGTGGATAATGTTAACACTAATATGTTCTAATATGACAGACGTGAGTGAAACAACAGTATCTATTCGAAATATAGGAAGAAAATGAACGAACAGGAATGTTGTCTGCTGCGGCAAAGCATATCGGGAGGAGAGAAATCAAGCTTGATGAATATGAGACAAATGGGTTTCATAGAATTATGCATTCTTTCTTCTTCAGAAATGAACTGCCCACTTTCAACAAAGGTTTAGGCGGCTATTCATCAAGATCTGAACCAACATCACATCACCAAATTGTAAGAGTTTTCTCACTGACAAGGAGCAAATAATTTTTTGGCCCTGAAACTATTTAGCAGTATAAAAGCTACAAGATAGAGAGAATAAAATATTCTCTAAATTGTTAAAATATACCTCGGAATGTAGTCAAAATGATTGAAAAACAAAATCAGGCTTCAAAAGAGAATGTACGATTCTTAGAAGAGGTCGTCTCCAGAGACACCGTGTCGAACTTCGCGGTTAAAGAGGCGCATGCGCTGAACGAGGACTTCCTCGAACGCAATTCGCACAGCTTGTGGGTGATGTTTGGAGGGGGCGAATATGATGTACCGATTCGATAACAAGTGTCAGAGTCTAGTCATCGAGTTAATAGTACTTGTAGTTCCCTAATGAATATTACATGTGGCGTTTCACAAGGTCAGTTTTGGACCAGTTCTATTTTTGATTTAAATAAATTCAATAATATCTCAACTTCGGCATTGAAAGGTGAACTGAAGTTCTTCGCAGATGATTAATCTATACCTTGAAGGATCTTCATGGCATTATTTTAGATATGATGATATAAAAAGTGATTTGAAAAAAATGATTATCTTATTGGCTTGAAATTCATTAACTAACTCTGAGCCCAAATAAATCTTCATATATGTTTATGTAAAAGAACACCCGAAGTATCAAACAAAACACTATGTTCCGACAATAGAACCATTGAATATACAGATGTTACAAGATGTTTGGGTCTCCATATTGTCGCGAGAGCGCCCTCCTAGGCGGAACACCCTATATCCATACATGCTTCCACCTTCACTCAACCAACGGCGGTGTGATGTCCTGAGTCAGCAGGATTCTCATCGTGCGGGGCACGGAGGGAGTACATGCAGCTGAAGCCCACGTCAATTATTTTATTGCAATGTGAATTCATTTGGTATTATTAACAATTCAGTTGTACTGCTACCACATAACTTGTAACATCTATCAGTCTACTCCCCAATACACCGTTTTTGCCGAAACTGCTCTAGTTATTGAACTTCCATAGCTACGACCCCATACCCCTACGTCACAATATCAATGAAGGGTTATAGTTTGGAAAAAACTCAATCCTATCACTGGTATTTTATTCAGAATTTGATGCCGGTTAGATACTTGAGGAGTATGTATTTTTGATTAATTCACTCAATTTGCAATATTATGGATTTGGAGAAATAGGAATATTCGTTTGAGAACTTCCTCGACCGCATATCGCATAGCTTCTTATGATGATGATGTACTATTTGGATAACAAGGTTCAGAGTCGGGCCAACGAGTTGGTCACTAGCGTGAACATTAAGAACAAGATGTAAATATTGAAGTGATTATTGCTGTGAACGAAGATGTGATGATATTAAACTACTAGCACAGGTTGCCCACTATACAGCTCTGCAAACCTCTTGCCTCTTGCCCACTTCTTGGGGTAAAAGACTACTATTTGTGCTCTCAATATTATTGGGTTCTTTGTTGATCTCAGATATTATTCATTCAGAAGTCAAAGATTTGGTTTTAAATACTGAAATGAGACATAAGTGACACAAATATCGAGACACTGTAATGCCAAACTGTAACGGTAAAACGGTAACGATGTATCTCGTGGAAAAAAGTCAAGTCCTTCGTTGCTCTATGGTTTCAGATGTTTTTGGAGGGTGCTGAATCTGAAGTTTGCGAACGAAATTTCCTGGACCGTCCCGAGATATTCGCAAAAAACAGTGAAATTTTCGCTTTTTTCAACCAAGACCAGCTCATTAAAAGTTGAAATTTTCTATTTACAATTATCCTTGTTCATGAATGTTGGACTAACAGGTGGAGAGCTAGAGCAAGACAAAAATAGGCAAAATCTGAACTAGACCTTTTTAGCAAAATTCCCTCAAGTCAAACGTAATTTATAGACTTGCCTTAATTTCACATCATACAATAAATAATTTCCACTCCTAGTGATGGACGTTGAATTTAAAAAATATTTCTAGCAATTTTTCTTCTCCATTTTCTCTGAACAAAGAATGGCAATTTCAAAAATATATAAACAAAATCAATCAATCAACTTTATTATTCCCAAGAAACAACATTTGTTTATAGCAGGGAACTAGTGAATACATAAATATATTTGACAAAATAAAATGATTATATGGGGAAATCTGTGACAACACTTACTTTGCATGATGAGCGAGAATAGCGCTTGTAAGCGATCGGTCTCGTATTAATAGAACTGCATGAAATAAAAACTAATGACTTCCTTACCTTGATTTCCTCACAGAACATAGGTTGAAATGAGAGAAATAGAATAAGACAGATCAATCTCTACTTACAGCATAGAAATCGATATGATGCAAAATATTCTAAACAGACCAAATTGAATATTTGATTCTCTGTAGCTCGAAACTTTTCATCGGGGTCCTTTACTACTCAAAAATACGACATGGCATGTAGTGTCATTAGGTTCATCAAAACATTAATTCATTTTACTCTTGACTTTGAGATAATAACCAAATGAACCTTTTAAAACATCTGAACCTGAATTGTTAATACTGAAGATCTGAAGATTATCCTCAAATTTCCGCAGGATCCGCATGATATGGTAAGGTTAGAACGGTGAATGGGTTTTACTCCTTCTCATTTTATAGTTTTATGATCCATGTATTGTATGTATCACAAATGATGGAAATTACGTATTTTTACGTATTGAAAACTCAAGAAAGATCACTGAACCGCTTACTATGTCGGCACGAGGCGTTGAATCTACTTTTTCCCCTTAGATGGTGATGCTGCTATTGCTGCTGACACGAGTGTCACGAGTGAAAATAAAATGGAAACGACATTTTAGGTACGTGGGAAATACGTGAAAGTGGGTTTATTTCACTCGAAATTCGAAAAATCTGCGGCAATTTCAAAATTGACAAATGTCATAATTGTGCAATGTCGCCATCTATTAGAAGATCGCCGAAATCGTTGCTTATTTCCATCATTGTATCACAGTACACCCCTATGGTTTGTTGTTGCAGTGATGGTAATCCATTGGGATAATAAATAGATAGATTGTTGGGTGGTCCATCATTATGGGGAATGTTTCGGTAGTGTTATGTGCCTAGACAGCGTGATAAATTCGATTTGAGAAAAGATCAATCGGAACCAAATCGGAACGTTCTCCGAAACTCAGAGCGGATGATTTTTCATTTCTATGATTTTTATCATCTATGGTTTGTGATGTCATTAGAGAATTGGTATGAAATTGTAGCTTCCTTCTGGGCTCGTCTTTTCAAGGATGCGAGAGTGAGATAAAAATTATTCACTCGAAAACGACAGGACACTGCACTGGAAGCACTAACAGATTTGAGTGCAATTGTTGCGTTTCATGTTGTTTTCAATGTAGAAAATGTTTAGGACCCGTGTAGGGAAAATGATTATAAAAAGTTACCTTCACTGGTGAATGGGTTGTTGAGGAGTCACTATTGGTAGTCGCGTTCGGTATTCACATCAGACTGCTCCGATGAATCTGAATCGTTCGTTTATGACATCTAGATGTAGGGGAAGTAGATCTCATCCGTTCGGCAATTGAAATAGGAGCGAACTGACAAAGATCTTGATGCTCGGAGAATTTTGACGGAGCAAAGCGATTGATCTGAATTTGTGAGATTAATGTTCAAATGTTTATGTATGACTGGCCGTTGTGCTCGTATTCGTATTTTCAAAATAACGTTTTCATAATGAAAAAAATACAACTTTTTGATTCTGAGCAAGACAAAACACACACCTTTATGGTGTCAGATGAGAATTATGAAGAAATTGTCACAATTTTTTATATATTTTTTTATAGATTTGACTCTGGCTGCGATTCTTTTGGAAAAAGAACAAGAAAAAGAAAATTTCTGGTATACTAATATGAAATGGAAGTAAATGAAATAAATAAATGAGGTTAGGTTAGGTTACCGCCACACTGTCAACAAAATGTCCACTTCGTTCGTTTATTGCCGATTGCTCCGATCTATCTGTGACCACGTGACTAGAATCTGCGATGTAAATACCGAACGTGACTGGTGCTTACCGGTGTATCATGTCACCATTCAAGAGCTATCGTTTTTATCAACTGCCGATAATAATTATTGTTGAGAAAAGGATAATGTGATGATTTTAAATAATGAATGATTGGCATCAAATACTAATTTATCTTGACACTATGGAGTCTAGATTCATATTTACTCGTAATTTATTGCTCCTTCTTTATTCCAGATCTGTACAGATGTGTTAACTTCCTTAAGAAATGGCAACTTTGGAAGTTGCGAAGCTCAATTAGAAGAATTCATTAAGAAATGCAATTCGTTATTTCCCTACACGGCAGCGTTCAAGCCGCCATCGGAGCAAGTATCGCCTAGTGAATCCAATCATATTTGTCAAGAACAAGACAGTTATAACAGCAACTGATGATAAATTAATACGCCTCAGGTGAGTCGACTGCTGAACGTGTTGCAGGGAAAAGTGGTGTCTTATCTGTGAGAGTGTGGACATTAACCAATGATGTTTTTTTTATAAAATTGATCAATAAGTTATTTTCGGTATCTGGCATACCTTAGGACTCGATTAAAATAAATAATCAACAGATTATTTATATTACCAATCAATTATTTCTTTTTTAATTTGTACATTTTGTTGTAAATTATTATATCGATTTACAAGGTACTTTGAATGGTGATTTGTAGCATACTTGTAATCAACATTCTCAAAATACACTTAATGTGAAGTCGAATTACTTCACCTAGCGAAATCACTCGATTCTTGAATAATAGAAGCTTTTTACTTATATTTTGGAGTTTTCGAGAATTTTATATAAAATTGCGGTAAGTGAAATTGTTTTATTGAATGATAAACGAGTTTGAATGAACAATATCTCTTCAAATTGGAAGTAGTTATGTAAAAGGAAACCAAGAGATAAACATTTACTGAGTGGAAGCATGCCATATGTCACATTTTTTAAGTCACATATTTAGGTAGTTATTTTCATATTTTCACAAATAACTTGGGCTATACTTGAATTTCCATGTTTTTATACTAAACATAGAATTGTGAAACTTTTCATTGTATATAAATCCATCCTCTTGATTTCGTCATATGAGTTCATTTTATAACTACTTCCTATTGTGTTCAAAAAGTCCTCGGTGGTCTATACTGTACATAGTTTCTATGAATGATTGTAAAATCGTACTTGGAATCTTTTCTTGCCTTCCACTTATGGAAAATCTGACGTTCGTATATGATCATCTGACTTTCATTACTGTCATAGTTGGATTCTCCATAGATGGAAGGTGGCACATGGAATGAAATTTCAACTGTCACTACTATGTTACTATCATAGAAACCCTGTAGATTGTTGAATGGTGGTCAAGTGGTCAGTACTTTCTTGACTGATATGTATAATGAATTATGGTGTTTGAGATTGTATGCATCGAGGACCGACATACAGAGTGACCCATTTGAATTTTTTATTTATGGAGCGATTTTCACGAATCTTTTTTTGAAAGGAAAGGTTTACTTTGGAAGTCAAGCGGCGTCCATTTCTTCAAAAAACCAAGGCCTACTAGATCACGTTCAGAGGCTGGAAAATCCAGTATCCACATTAGTGAATTTTTAAGAAAAATTCCGCGCACACCACTGGGATAGAACTGTACCAAGTTTCATGTGAAAATTTTCATCATCAAAGAATCTACAGCGTGTCTCATTTTCCTACGGCCCCCTTGCATATCTCACCTATTAGTAGTGCGATCTTTATCAAATTTGGACTGGTATGAATGACCATCAATAGGATCGGGTTTTCAGCAAATAATAAATTGAAAATGGTCAATTTTTTATGAAATCATATTGGGATTTTTCTTACAGGAAAACTGGCCTCATAATATTGCTCTTCATGGTTTCCAACCCCCATTATGCAAATTTTCATATTCCTATAAAGAGTTTGAAGAGAAACAGGCACATCTGCACAGCATTTTTGCGAACGTAATTACTTACTCGAAAACGGTGCATGAGTTCAACATAGTATTTCTTGTTTTTTCTTTCAAATCACGATTTTCTACCTACCGGAACTTATTGAACGTTCCAAAATTTGCAGTTAATTTCAATTAATTATTTTCCGGGCCTGAAAATGAAAAAATTGAAGCCAATTCTGACAATTTGAGATGGAGTGGTATTTTGCATATGGAGGTTCAAAAACATGACGAACAATGACATGAAGTTAGTTTTCTTGCAAAGAATTCCTAATATGATCTCATAAAAATCGACCCCCTTTAATTTCAATAAAAAAGCATGACACAGTCCAATTGGATGTTAGTCTCTGAAAAACTGATCATATTGATTGATTCATACCAGTCCAAATTTGGTAAAGATCGAACGACTAATAGCTGACATATAGGGTTGCCGTTTGGAATGAGACGCTGTAGATTCGTTAATGTTGAATATTTTTTCATGAAACTTGGTATAGATCTATTTCCGAGGACGCCGATTCCAGTGGTGTACGCAGATTTTTTCTAAAAAATCGCTATTATGGATTCTGGATTTTTCATCCTCTGAATGTGATCTAGGAAGTAGGCCGTGGTTTGTTTTAAGTGGACACCACTTAGCTCCAAAATACACTTTTCCACCCTCTACATTTCAAAAAAAAAATTCGTGTAATGGGTCACTCAGTGTATTAGCAATCTGTAGCGCTACTTGGAGACTGTGAACACTTTGAGATGACTGATGAATACTTCGATTTTGCTGACACCTCAACTATTCTGTCATATCAACATATTACTCCCTGAATTTTACCCATTCTGGGCTGTTACAATGGTTGTTAGATATACTTAATTCAAGTTACCGTTCTTGGCGTGCACGTGAAAACGACGAGAATACCGGATACGGGACTGATATCAGGCGGGCGTACAGGTTATCTATAAATGATCGTAGCATCGTAGTGACCGTAGAAATATTTTATTGATTTGCCGCTTTCTACTTATGGAGATCGAACAATAACACAGTCGCTCGTTTCATTGTCTGCAAACAACATGAGCAGAGAGCAGCAGTATTTCAACGGCCACCACGATGCTACGATAATTTATGGAGACCCTGTATAACAGACCCCGTATAACGCTGGCCGTTTACTTAGTTCGCATGATGATAACGAAGTCGGCGCAAAGAAGGGTGACATGAACTATTGGGAAATTTGTTCTCGATGAAAATGTAGAATTGATTATACCATTATGTATCTCTAGTCATGAGCTTCATTAACACTAGAATGGGTATTATGGATCCTCCAATTTCTCATCGTACATAAAACAATTACGTTTCGTATGTATCTCTCCCAAACACTAGTCTATGTTTAAGGGATGTCAATAGGAAGGAATATACGAGGGATCGGAAATATGTACTAATATCACAATAAATACTCCAAGATAGAGGCCATTATTGCTGGAAGAAGTGGAAAATCATTTTTCCTAATTTCAGATCGATTGAATTCTTGAAAATTGATACACAGGTTATCCCATTTAACACCTGCAACTCTCGTGAAAATTGACATTATATAGGTACTGTGATATGTATAATTTAAAAGAAGAAATTAATCAAAGCATCTTTCTAAGAAACATACATATTAGAGATATAATGTCAATATTTCAATAATAAATCGCTTCATTTTCGTAAATAAATCCACTGTTGACCACAGCCACAGCAAGACCATTTAAATTATCAATGTATTGTTGAAACCAAGTTCCTATTTGGAAATGTTCAAGCAGTGAAGGTGGCTCAACATTGTCAAAAGTCGTATTCATATTGAACGATATCCACCAAGTGTAAAAATCGACTTCTCATGAAATTTTTGTAGAATATTCCTCATCCAGGTCATTTTGGGTGTTTGTTTTCAAATCGGACGCTAACTGATTGCTCTACTTCATTCGGATTGATTTAAGAGAGTCGGGGATGATATCAATATTGAATCCAGTTCACGGATAGTGGACTCTCTCGAACAATAGCTGAATGCCAAAAGTATAGGTTATACAATATAAGAGGTTTATAAAGTGTCAGAATTTCAAGAGGGGCATTTTTCTAGTAAGCTAGACCGCTATACGTATTATCCCATGAACCCGAAAATTTTGGTCAAATTGCTCACCTGCTCAATGCCCAGGAATTCCAAAATTTATTCATGACATCGAGTCATGTCTCTTGGTATTCGGAAACAGTGAGTAAGTATTCATGACAGTTCTTGAATACACAGGTGTCATTGAACTATGTTTAATCTCGTAAATGAATCATTCGTATGGTATAAGCGGTCAAGTTAGTAATTTATGTCGGTGATTTCAATACCAGGTCGATCAAATTATCTTTGTGAAAGATTGGAGCAGGTATCAATGCATGACAACTAATTTCTGTATTCTGTATGTGGCCAACCCAACTATAGTGGAGCTATGTCATTAGAAAACAATAGTTGGTATCACTCATCATATAAACTCGCCCGTAAAAAACCGGCCACCTACAAAATTAGCAAAATGTATCTTCCGATTTTGCTGAAATTCCGACCAAATCGTAGATTTATGTTTCGAACTATTAACGTGAATTTGAAAGCTGATGGGTTGATCATACAGGGCAAAACAAATGTTTCTATTTGACGCTTAATTCCTTAACGCCCTGCGACAAAAGTGAGTGATCATCATGTTTTGGATTGATGTGTAATCACTTCTCAGCACAATGGTATTTGATTCAAGCCAATATCTTCTTCTTTTGAGAAAAAGAGAAGATACATGTGTTGAGAGAGTATGGATTTTTTGAATTTGAAGAAAGTAAAAATTGACTTATCTCCACCTCGTATCTTGGGCATCCACCAGCAAAGCTAAACCTCAATTACCAAAGGCAAACGAAAAGCATACCTCCTAGATGTAGTCAATAATGGGTATGCCTTCCTCGAGCGGTCAACCGCCGTGGCATCGGGTTGATCAGATTTCTCAAGCAGTCTTGAGGAATTGCCTCAAATTCGAATCTTAGCTCTTGAAGAGTCTATGACAAGGCCGGACGAAGGCAATTGAGCCTCTGGAGTTCATCTCAAAGATGCTTTATATTTATATTGTCTGTAGAAATTAAAAAATTACATACTTCCTCAAAACACTTGTACATTCTGTTTAAAAAAATATATTGACGTGAATCAGAAACCATTGTGTTAAGAAGAGAGGAAGCACACTTCAATCCAAAACATGAGGATGCAGGAGGTGGAGAATGATTCTGAATTATTGATAGTCAATTAAAATATTCCATATTGCCTTAAAACACTTATTTCTTCTCTCAAAGAGTAGATATTGACGTGAATCAGAAATCATTGTTTTAAGAAAGGATCGTACTTCAATCCAAAACACGATGAAGCTAAGTTTAACCACTCACCTTTGCCACAGGACGTTGAGAAGTTAAGGGTGAAACAGTTAACTTCTGTTTTTCCCTGCATAATGACCAAGCCATTAGCTTTTTTCAAGAATCAAAAACTCCAAAACACAAATCTACGATTTCGTCAAAATTTCACCAAAAGGACAAGAACTAAAAATGTTACAGGGTGAGCAATTTGTCAAGATTTTTC